GGGCGCGCGGAGCCCCGGCGCGCAGGTCAGGGGCTCGGACGCAGAGCGCAGGGACGCGCCGCTCCGTGGGCGGAAAGGCTGACCGCTACGGGGACCCCGGGGCGCGTGGGGCGGAGTCCGGAGGAGATGGCGCTCAGTGGGTGGGGTCCTGAGGTACCGGGAAGGGGCACCGAGGTATATGGGAGAGGACAGCGGAATGTGGGAGGGGAAATGGGGCAGGTTAATGACGCGTTTACGAGGCAGAGACTAGGTGGGGCAACAGAATGGTATTTGGGGGCCCAGAGCTATCATGGGGAGCACAGTGCAGTTGGGGGGAGGCAGGCACATGGTGGTGACCAGGGGACTGTATGTGAGGGGGGTAATGGCAGGGGAGAAGTACGAAGGGCAGAAACGTTTGGGCACGGGGAGGTATTTGGGGCACAGCGCACGTGGAGCGTGGGGGTCGGGCTCCCTCCGGAGGTTACATCCCCCAGTTGCGTCCGCATTAGGAACAGTTCTCGGTCGCAGCGAGTAGACTGGACAAGGGACTTTCATAACACTTCGGTGCCACGGGGCTGGAGGGAAGCCGGGCGGCAGGCGAGGGGGGCGCGGCTTCGTGCAGGGGCCAGGCGGGGCGCGCGGGCCGGAGGGGCGCGGAAGCCCCCCCACCCGCCCGCGGGGGAAAGCGCAAGCATCTAAGTGGGCGGTCCCAAAACTTCTGCCCCGGCGTTGCCAGGCAACAGCCATTCAGCGCGGTTGCTGGGACACGCGTCACCATGGCGACGGCTCCGCGCCACGCACTCCGAGTATTTAAAGAGCAAGCGCGCGCAACGGCTGGGTGTCGGAAAGCGGCTTTCCGGGCCACCGCGGTCTCCCCTCCTGGCACCCCCCCACACACCGTCCGCTCCCCCCTCGTCCAGGCGCCAAGTCTCTGGCATCCAGGGTGGACCCAACTCCCCGGCGCGACTCCGGTTCTGGGGCTGGTCCGGCTGCAGGCGGTGCGGAGCGGGATCCCGGGCCCCGGGCGGGCGGGAGGGACGGGACGCGGTGCAGTGTTGTTCCTTCCCCCGCCAATATTGCACTCGTCCCGGCCTCCGGCCCCCCCGGCCCCCCGGCCTCCCCCTCGCCCCGAGCGGGCCAGCTCCAGCCCTCCTCTCGATCGGGACGACCTAAGATAGACTGGAGTGTCGCCGCTGCCACCGTGAGTAAGTGGGGCTGGGAGGACTTTAGCCATCTTCAGACTAGCCCCTCATCCTTCACCTACCCCAATCCAGCACCTTCCCTCCTCCACCCGGCCCCACACACAGCCAAACTTCTGTAGATCTCCAGCTTTCATCCTACCAGCCCCCTTCCTCACCCCCTCAGGTTCCTTCCTGCTCCCCACACTATCCCAGAAAATCCCTAAAATAAGCAACATGCACTAGCTTAGAAAACCACTGGAACTTTATGGCAATGTGGTGTTATCTTTCCTGGGGTTAGTGCCTGAGAAAAATATCCCTTGAAAGCTTCCCAACTCCTGAACAGTGGGGTCCCACCCCTCTGGGGCTAAACTCCTGTGGGTGCCAGAGGGGGGTCTGTGTTTGGCTGAGCTGCTGCAGATTAGACCCCAGCGTCTCCAGGATGGACCCCAAGGCCAGAGGGTCTAAAATCAGGATTCTGAATCCGGTGGCCGCCTCTTCACACTCTTCCCTGGAGCAGCTGCCTCCGGAACGGCTCAAAATCCTCGGGCACTGTGTCTGAGGAGGCAGAAATGATGACGGTCAGAAGATAGGACTCTCCCACGAGGGCGTCGGAAAGGTCAGGCTGATCTCAGTCTGGAGTCTCACCATTGCATCGGTATTGGAGATTGGACCAAATGATGTTTTCCTGGGAGAAGCAGAATACACCAAGACGCCCTCCCCGCATGGCTGTGTCAATGATCACCCCAGAATCCGCCACTAGCTGAGGACCCTCATAGAGCTTCACCCTGTCCAGGATAGGTGTCCATGGTGCTAGGATGCCAGTGGGCACTGGGCCATCAAGCCCAGGCCCCTGCTCATCCCCAACCCCCCTGGAGCTCACCGGGCCAGAGGGAGAGAACGGAAGGAGGGAGAGGGAAGAAGGAAAGGGGAGGGACACGGGTGCTCTTCTCAGGCCTGGGGCCCCTGCCTCTTTGTCCGCCCCCTTTGCATCTCAAAGCACCAGCCACATTCCAAGCGAGGATTGGGTTGCCATGACAATGAGCACAAAGGGCTGGGGGGTGAAGTCACCCGCTTCCCAGGCTCTAGTCCACCCTCCCTCATCCCCTGCCCTGGCACCCTGCAGCCCCAGGCACCTTAAAGGGGAACCAACCCAAGTCCGTGGACCCTGGGCTCTTGCATTTCCCCTCCCTTCCCTGTCATCCCCACCAACTAGGAAATGCACAGGGGTGCACACAGCACTGAACTGAGAAGTCTTAGCCCTGCTACTAAGAAGTGTGCAGTCTAGGCGTCGGTTTACTCTTCTGCAAATGACGACCCCTTCCGGGTCAGACACCGTGATGGGGCGGCTTCTGGGATGTACCACTGAAGGGGCTGGATGTGATGGGCCTCTCCAAAGACTGGCCTGTGGTTTAGAGGCTCCCAGAGAGGCCCTCACTTTACAGAGGGGAAAACAGAGCTCGGACGAGGATGGACTCGCCCGACATCACCTATGGGTCCTAGGTCGCACCAGCACCAGGGCCCAGGCTGCCTGAGGCGGAGAGCAGGGCTGAGGTGGGACGTGTGCGGCGGGAGGGGAGAGGGAGAAGTGGTCCCGGTCCCAGCCCATGGCACCGAGGAGTGGAGCAGAGGGGAGCAGAGGGGCCGTCACTGGTGAGTCCCAGCTAAAGGTGAGCGGAGCCTGGCCCGGGTCCCTCAGAAGGGCTCGCCCCTCCCTCACCGGATGTAGCCGACTTGAGGCCGGTGCAGCAGCTGCCAGCGGTAGGAGGTCTTGTCACGCCAGCCCACGTTTCGTGGGTCGGTCCACAGCAGTCGCACCTGATCAGGGGTGTGGCCAGTATGCCACAGGGCATTCCGGAGGTGCTCACCTGGGCCGGACACTGACGTCACTGCCTGGAGGGTATTGGCAAAGATGTTGGATCACCCACAGGACCCAGACAGCAGGCTGGGAAGTGCAGGTGGAGAAGGAAGGCAAGGTGGGCGGGAGAGCGTTCTGGAGTCCCGGGGAGCCAACCTCCAGGCCAGGCGGCTGAGAAAGAGGCTCCCCACTCAGGCAGTGGAGAAGCCCTGGGGCCAGCTCAGGGAGGCTTTGGGGAAGGGCCCTGGACTGGGGCTCCGGGCAGCCGCAGACCTTGAGCTGCAGCCCCGGCTGAGCAACAGCCCGGAAAGGTGTGGCCTGCCAGTAGGTCTGCTCCGTCTGCTTCCACATGACCACGTAGAACCGGCCGCTGTCTTGATAGCTGAAGAGAAAGCCTGCGTAGTCATCATCAGTCACCGTGTTCACGTGGAAGGTGCCTTCAAAGTCCACACCATTGAAGGCTGTATATCCTGGGGGGCAGGTGGGGTCAAGGTCAGGGCAGCAAAGCCACCATTGGCCCACGGCAGACTCAGGGTGGGAAGGGATGCCTGTGACATGTATGGCCAGCTTGGCCTCCACCCTCTGACCCTGTGGGATTCCTCCATGTGGAAAGGATCAAACTGGGTGCCCCATACATACCAACTGCCAGGCCGGGGTCACTGTTCATGGTCTGAACGATTTCCATGCCCTGGGGGTGTGCAGTGAAGAGGAAAGCCCTGTTCCGGGTACGCGGCCCCACCTGGGCCCCACCTGGTAGTCTGGTCTGATAGCACCTGCCCAGCCCACTGCCCAAGTACCTGGTTGAGCACGACCCAGTTTGGATCAATCTGAGCATCACCCTCAGGATCCAAGACGACAGTCTGATAGGCCCGGAAATCTGTGAGGGTCACCTCTGCACTCTCGGGGCACACGTCCAGGGGGTCGACCACTGCGTCATTGTCAAAGTCATCCTCACACACATCCCCAACACCATTGCCTGGGCAGAGCGGGGCCAGGTGCTCAGGAAGGCCTGGCCGTGGCCTCCAG